AATAATAATATTAAAATAGCGGGCCAAATCGGCTGCCAGGCCACCGGGAATTGTCCCGGTTCTCCCGATGGCCAGTCCGCGCCTGAGTAACTGTAATTTAATTACACATTTTTTCTTAGTAACTGTAACTATAACTGATTACAGTTACATTTATTTTGTAATTAAATTACGTAACGCCGTTACATGTAACTAGTTACTCCCCAACACTGACTATGAGCCACACTTGAATATAGAAACAATTACACCAAAGTGATGCATCTTTTTTTTATGAAAGTCATGTCTTGACTGTTTCTCACAAAAAAAACATTTCTCTCATGTGTCGTCTTTGTCTTTTCCCCCCCAAAACATTTATTTGCAATTTTTACTTTGAAGGGGTAACACCTTTATTTATGGTAACACCTTTTAAGGACCATTCCTCAATATTAACTAGCATGCACATTACTAGCATATTGGCTGTTTATTAGTACTTATACTGTAAATTACTGCCATATTCCTGCACATATTACTGCCATTTTGCATGATCATATGTGACCCTGGACCACAAAACCAGTCATAAGTAGCACGGGTATATTTGTAGCAATAGCCAACAATACATTGTATGGGTCAAAATTATTGATTTTTCTTTTATGCCAAAAATCATTAGGATATTAAGTAAAGATCATGTTCCATTAAGATATTTTATAACAATTTGATAAAATACCTTATATTTTAGATATTTTATAACTATACCATTTTTTTATTAGTAATATGCATTGCTAAGAACTTAATTTGGACAACTTTAAAGGCGATTTTCTCAATATTTTGACTTTTTTTTTTTTGCACCATCAGATTCCAGATTTTCAAATATTGTCCTATCATAAAAAAGCATACATCAATGGAAAGCTTATTTATTCAGCTTTCAGATGATGTATAAACCTCAATTTTAAAAAAACTGACCATTATGACTGGTTTTGTGGTCCAGGGTCACATTACATATTCTATATCCCTTAACCCTATCCAATAACCTAAACAATACCTACCTTACTATTTATAAGAAGCAAATTAGGAGATTATTGAGGCAAAAGTTGCAGTTAAAAGTTAGTTAATAGTGAGGACCTTAAAGTGTGACCTTATTTCTTTATTTATTTTAGTGCTATTTTAGTACTTTTATATTATAGTATTTATTTATTGATTTATTAGTCTTCTTTTCCTTTCGGCTGTTCCCTTCAGGGGTCGCCACAGCGAATCATTTGCCTCCATCTAGCCCTATCCCCTTCTGCATCCTCTTCTCTCAGACCGACTACCTTATTTATTGATTTATTAGTAATGATTTATATTTAGATTTTTTTAATATTTTGCTTTTTTGTGTATTTTCAGTTGTCATTAGTCATTTTATGTGCTTCTGTCATTTAAGTTTTTTTCATGCTTTTGTCATGTTTTTTTTCTATTTTAATTTAGCTTTGTTAAATTTGTAAACTTATATGTAATAGTATTAGTATTTCAGTTTACATTTATTTTATTTCAGCTTGTTTCTGATTTTTGTTTTTAGTTTTTCATCTAATACGTATTATTTATTTTATTTCAGATTTATTCATAGGCGAAGTCAAACTCCAGACTTACCAACTCCAGGGTAAGGCTAAAAGCAGCCAAATCTATTAAACATCATAAACCCGTCGTTTTAGGCAAGAACCAGACATGGGTGTCATGTAGGCTAAAAAAATGTTTAATGGGACTGAATTTGTATTTAACATGATTACAATTTAATACAAATGTTAGAAATTGATAATTATTCGCAAGAGTCCGGAATTCAGTCAGCGAACGCGCGCGCACTCAACAAAACTGATGAGTTTGAACGATGACTCATCTGAACGCTTCTGATTGGCCATTGCATTCCTAAGCTCAACATATATGTGTGTGATTGTGATTGAGCCTTACACACGCTCCGCCTATGGATTTATTTCAATAAAGTTTTAGGTAACGATAACAACTATACTTAATTAATACTTGCTTACTGGCAAGAAATTATTTTTTTAATCTCTCTCTCTCTATATATATTTATATATTTTTTGTAAAAAAAAAACATTTTCACAATGTTTACTCATCTTTTATTTACTCACATTTGATGCATGAAGTGAATTCAACTTCAAATAGTGTATTTCCTACATTCTCCTTTATTAAAGGCCCTGTGAACACTGTAGCTGCCATATCAACCATGCATATAATCCACATTACTCTCTGGTATGGCCCAGTAGGGTCATGTCACAAACAGGTTGATCAACAAACCATTGTTCCCAATATAATGAATGTTAAAAGGCATTTGGGCCCAACAGTTGCCACTCTCCAATTGGGGGTCTACTGGTAAGCGCAGCTGCCTGAAACAGGCAAATCCTGTGTCTCCTCCATGCCCTTTTAAGGAGACAGGACCCTGTCAAAGTGCTTGTGTGTGTTGCTTGCTTTGTTTGACCACTGGGCCTCCCACACAGCAACGCTAATAGATCACAAGCCAGTAAATATTGCCAAAGTAGAATTACAACTGTTACTGTACATTAATAGCGCAACTGGGACACCTAAATTCCTTCGCTTATCTTTCCTGAACACAATGAATGCACATTTTCAGCGTTTTTTTTTTTCACCAGAAAGATGCTGATTCACACAGTATAAATGCAAAGAAACCATTAGCAATGATCTCGTTTTGGTAGACAGCATCATCAGAGCTATAATAAGATGCCAGTAACGGTCACGGTACATGAGGGTTCAAGGGAATCCGAATGGATTGTGTTCTGTAGATATCTATCAAGCTAGCATGAAAAACGTCTAATAATAGCACATTAACAAAGACGCTTAAACTTTATGGTGCTCAAAAATGCACCCACATAATCCAACTTTGGCACAGCAAACCGAAGGGTCTATAAGAAACTCCAGAAATCTGATAACAAAAGGTTAGAAAATACTATCACACTGATATCACGGTCTTTTTCAGTCAGGCCAGAGCTTTGAGGATCACAAATAGAACGTTATCTACTGTTCACCAAGCCTGAAACAACACAAGATAACAAATACACGCCAAATCAGGAGGCAATTTCACCTTTAATGACAAATTGTCATTCTAAGATGTTGAAAGAAAATTAATCATTTATGAAATGCATGTTTTGACCCAAAGTACATGTGTAGAATCAAACTAGCATTTAACAAAAACCATACTCATCATAGCGAGGTTGTTTTCTCTAGTGTTGAGTGAAAGAGATAACGGGGGAGAAGGTGACAAATAAGGAGTTGGAGCCAAAGCAAGCAGCACCGAGGAGCAGCACTGATGTGTATCCAGGAGCACCTGTCACTCAACATGACCCTAAAAGGACAGAGCTGGGCCAATCAGAGAACAGCAGTTGCAGAGAAAGGACACGGGTCCTTCTTAACACCCCCCACACCTCTCAGCTGTCTGGCATGTTGTGGGCCCGATCGCATACCAGGGCCCAGACCATTTGACAAAGGTGGTGTCACTCAGGTCTGGCTCCTAAATGTGACCCCACACGTCTAGTGTTACATCCTCTGTCTTCCAAATGCCTGTGAAGTCAAATCATTTTTTGACATTGTACGTCACAGTGACCTTACACATATTGTATATTGTTCTGGGTCAAAGGTCATGACGTGTGCTTTCCTGACATTCTTGTTGGTGCAAATAGTAGCTGAAACCTTAAAATGAACATTTAAACATGTTATTTGTACATTTTTGTGTGTATAATGACACTCTTTTTCATGTGCTATTGTCTTATGCTTAAATAATATTAATATTCTGGTAGATACAATTACTATTGGACAAGAAATGGTCAATATTAAAATTATGTACTGTTTTGTCTAAGTTAAAAATAAAACACTAAAAATTAAAAACCAATAATTTTAAATGCTACAAGTGAATTTCATTCAGTGTTATTTTAGCATTATATTTATATGCTATTAGCATTTATTAATATTTTGAATGTTTTTATTTTTATGTTTTCAGTTTTCTAATTTAGCTTAGGATTTAATAATTTTGTTATGTGCTTTTGTCATTTTTTATTCATTTTTAATAATTCTATTTAGCTTAATTTTTGTTAGTTTTAGTAATAGCCATCTTTATTTCTCTTTCTTTTCATTTTTTAAGTTTTTCAGCTAATATTTCTATTTTATTTTATTTCAGTTTTATTTCCAGCTTAACATAATTTTTTTTTCATAGTTTTAGTTTGAGTTAACAATACAAAAACGTTCAGTATTGGACTTTTGGCATCACATAATAAAGTATACTATGAAAAATGGATATTAATTTTGAGTTTTGCTACATTTCAGATGATGATGGCAAAGGTCATCTAAATGTAAAAATGCACAACCAAATTTTCAGTATCTGCCAACAATAAAAACTCTTAATATTTTCTAATAACCATTGTCCTTATAAGAATGGCATCATGTAATATACATTAACAGTTTTTCTTTAGCCACATCCATAGAAAACAATGCTGTTCTTTATGATTAAATCACATCCATCAACAATTCATCATCATAAAGCACTATTTTTTTTTTTTTTTGTCACACAAATAACAGAACATGACATAAAACTTTATATCATATGTTAAAAGAAATGGAGAACAATCAAAGAATAGTACTTGACTTTTTTTGGCCTTCCATTTGGCTCTGAAATCATAACAAACAGTTTTCCACTGCTTATTTTGCTCTCAAAGAGGATCTGTCACCTCTTAAGAAACATCTGTCCATTTTGGTAATCAAGTCAGAGTCCATGGAGTACAGGATATACTGGCTATGGGCCATTTCCTAGCATCTCTTATTTGGTCTTGTGTGAACTCCAGATCCCGCCCATGAACCCCAGCCCCCCCTTCACTAGCATATTTAAGAAGTATCCTTCTCCCATGCCCTTCATCCCAGCGGAAACCCCAGTCTTGTGCTACAACTTGGTGAGTGTTTGCTACTACCTTTATCTCTATGGACTACTTCAGGGACGATAGAGAGAGATTTGAAAAGGAATAACCCAACACTTCATCTCCTACATGGGAAGGAACATTAATCTCTGGAACTGTTGATGCAGATGGCGGATAACTGGCTGATTTTACATTGATAGTCTTAGCAGAAACTACTAACAATATAATTGCTCATTCTCTGTGACTGTACCTGTAGCAGTAGCTAGAGAAATATAGGAGAATGGATAGTTGCCCATTGCTAACATGAAGAAATAATGCTGGAGGTGATAAAAGACAGCAGAAGTGAGCAGTTGTAACTAGTTGTACGTGATTGACTAAAGGATTCATTGGGTTAGAAACCACATCTCATAAGGGTGACTTGAAGATGCACCAATAAAGGGAGTCATCAACAGATGTAGTGAATTGACACATGCTGCCAGTGGATCTCTTACAGTTTCTAGACAGCTGAGGAGGCGACCCTTAGGTCCTGCTGTCATTTGTCATCAGACAACTGTAAAATAGGTACAGATAGGACACTTGGTCAGGGGCTTCCGCTTGGAATGACAAGAGCTGATGCCTAAAATAGTTTAAAGAGGATCTGCTGTGCTGCTTTTGAACTTTTGTTGACCTTACCTGGTGCTGCGTTTCGTAATGCAGGCTTAGAAATGTTTCAGTGGATTGTAGAGGATATAATATATATTTATTAAAATGATTGAATACTTAAAAATGAATGTTCAATTATCTGTATTATTCAGATTTTAACTTTAACTTATACACTCTCCTAACACATGTTTTCTTTCTCCTAGGACCATCCCAAAAAAGACCAATCATGTGTGACGACGATGAGACTACCGCACTCGTGTGCGACAACGGTTCTGGTTTGGTCAAGGCTGGATTCGCCGGTGATGATGCTCCCCGTGCTGTCTTTCCCTCAATTGTTGGCAGACCCCGTCACCAGGTGGGCCTCCAAAGCATGTTTACTTCCAGCCAACATATTGCATATTGGCTGTGGAAAATCATCATATTATACAAACTAACTGAACATGCTTGGTGGTAACCCATGACTCTTTTCCTTTAGGGTGTGATGGTGGGTATGGGTCAGAAAGACAGCTATGTGGGAGATGAGGCTCAGAGTAAGAGGGGTATCCTTACTCTGAAATACCCCATCGAGCACGGCATCATCACCAACTGGGATGACATGGAAAAGGTAGCAATTAAAGAATTATTACAGAATGCTGAATTTTTATTATTCATTAAAAGCAAATATAAAAGAGATTTTATTTATATTATCCTGTGTTTGGTCACCTCTATTTAAATGTTTTCAGATCTGGCATCACACCTTTTACAACGAGCTGCGTGTGGCCCCTGAGGAGCACCCCACTCTGCTCACTGAGGCCCCCCTCAACCCTAAAGCCAACAGGGAGAAGATGACACAGGTAAGCTAATGCTGGGGTTTACAAACTTTTTACAAATATGATGATGCCCTATAGTGGCAGCATGTAATGGCAGCCATATATTTTCAAACCCATTTGTACTGTAAAAAATGTCAATATTTTAATTGCATTAATGTAAAATTACATAAATCTTAACTCATTTTTAAAATTTTAGTTTATGTATTATTCTCGTGAGTTTTATTTATTACACAATTTTTCTCTGAACTTTTTCACGGATGCTCTAGCATCTTGTGGCCCCTTAGACTTGGGTTTTCATAAACCCAAAATCATTTCAGTATGTGTTTACCATTAGTTTTTGTTAATATTTTGAATTCGATTTTTATATTTTCTGTTTTAATTTTAATTTGAAGTTTCAGTAATTTTGTTGTGTTTTTGTTTTTTTTTTTATTACATTTTAATACGTCTTTTAAGATTTACTTTAAGTTGTAGTTTATTTAGTTTATTCAGCTTTAAATAAAAATGAGAAAAATGAGAAATGTTGCCTTGACAACTAGCTGTTTAATTTTAGTTAATTATTTACTTATTTTTTTTATGGATTTAGTTTTAGTTAACAATAATAACCCTGGCTGAAACTAACATTTTCCTCTCTTTTCAGATCATGTTTGAGACCTTCAACGTCCCTGCCATGTATGTTGCCATTCAGGCTGTGCTCTCTCTGTACGCCTCAGGCCGCACCACTGGTCAGTGTCTATTAAGTCACTAAAAGCAATATGTAACATTATAGGTTTTAATTCCTATATACATCTGTAATACTTAGGAAGCAATACTTAACATGCCAATGCATCATGTTACAGGTATCGTGCTGGACTCTGGTGATGGTGTGACCCACAACGTCCCCATCTATGAGGGTTATGCTCTTCCTCACGCCATCATGCGTCTGGATCTGGCCGGTCGTGATCTGACTGACTACCTGATGAAGATCCTGACTGAGCGTGGTTACTCTTTTGTGACTACCGGTGGGTGTTCTACTTATGCAGAATTTTGTTTAGAAATTAGCAAATGCTCCCCTGGCCTCAAGAGGGGACACTTTTTTCATGCATGCAAAATAAATGTTTTCATCATGTCTTTTCCCAGTTTAAAATATCCTTTGCTCTCTTCTCTTCCATAGCTGAGCGTGAGATTGTGCGTGATATTAAGGAGAAGCTGTGTTACGTCGCTCTGGACTTCGAGAATGAAATGGCGACTGCTGCCTCTTCCTCCTCTCTGGAGAAGTCCTATGAGTTGCCCGACGGCCAGGTCATCACCATTGGAAACGAGCGGTTCCGCTGCCCCGAGACTCTCTTCCAGCCCTCTTTCATTGGTATGTTTTGGCTGGGCCTCAAATGACCTCATTGCATTACTCCATGTTGCTGTCTTTAGATCACAATTGTTCCCTTGCTAACATAGCTTGCAATGTTGCTCCTCACAGGTATGGAGTCTGCTGGCATCCATGAGACCGCCTACAACAGCATTATGAAATGCGACATTGACATCCGCAAGGATCTGTATGCCAACAACGTCCTGTCTGGTGGTACCACCATGTACCCTGGTATTGCTGACCGTATGCAGAAGGAGATCACTGCTCTGGCCCCCAGCACAATGAAGATCAAGGTAAACATCCATGTGACTAAATGAGCTTGTTTATGTAATTTTACAGTCTAACTACAATCATGTTCTCATGCTCATCCTCTAGATCATTGCTCCCCCTGAACGTAAGTACTCCGTCTGGATTGGCGGTTCCATCCTGGCTTCCTTGTCCACCTTCCAGCAGATGTGGATCAGCAAGCAGGAGTATGATGAGGCAGGTCCCTCCATCGTCCACAGGAAGTGCTTCTAAACCTCAAATCCTCTTCAATGCAATCCAACTAACCCTCCGTATGCATTTGTACTGTGCCTTGTGCTGTATATACATGTACTGTTGTAATAAAAGTCGTGATGTGTAACAGGCTCGCATTGTGTTTTGTCTGAGTATTTAATGAAGAAAATGTAGCTATTTTTTGAGCTGACAAAAGCTCTTAATTTATTTTCATTCATTCTAAATTCTATGAGCCATTTAGTAGATTTTTTTTAAATTTGTTTCAAAGGATTTCTAAAACTTTACACACATACTGTAGATGTGGACCGTAAAAGGCAGAGTATAAGTTAAAAAGATTCTGAGTTGCATGTGAATGCAGTGGTGATGTTCCATTAATATTATAATAATGCCTGTTCCTGAGAAACCAGCAGATGTGGATCAGCAAGCAGGAGTATGATGAGGCAGGTCCCTCCATCGTCCACAGGAAGTGCTTCTAAACCTCAAATCCTCTTCAATGCAATCCAACTAACCCTCCGTATGCATTTGTACTGTGCCTTGTGCTGTATATACATGTACTGTTGTAATAAAAGTCGTGATGTGTAACAGGCTCGCATTGTGTTTTGTCTGAGTATTTAATGAAGAAAATGTAGCTATTTTTTGAGCTGACAAAAGCTCTTAATTTATTTTCATTCATTCTAAATTCTATGAGCCATTTAGTAGATTTTTTTTTTATTGTTTCAAAGGATTTCTAAAACTTTACACACATACTGTAGATGTGGACCGTAAAAGGCAGAGTATAAGTTAAAAAGATTCTGAGTTGCATGTGAATGCAGTGGTGATGTTCCATCAATATTATAATAATGCCTGTTCCTGAGAAAATACTTCCAGGGAAATTATTGAATTAGCCTACTTTTAAGCCATTATTATTGTTGGTTATATTAAAGAGGAGTGAATTACATGCGAAAAAAAGAACTCAATGTATTTGCATTGTAGGCTATATTTGCATTGTATACGTTAAGCTATTAATATTATAATTCGATTAAACTGACATGTCCATAACATTATCTGAACATGACGACACGACATGCCTCATAGCATGTGATTTATTTATTATTTAGGCTAATAACATATTTCCTTTTACATTTCCCTTTTTCCTTTATAGCCTATTCCTTATTTTCTTAAACTCTGCCCTTCTCCGTCAACAATAAAACCCAGCAGCATGGTTTAACCAACGGATATGTGCTAGTCACTACGTAAACCAAGAGGTGAGATGATTCGCTGCTTGGCAACAGAGCAAATGAAGCGAGGAAGAGGAGGAGGACGGCATCTGTGCTGAACCCGACAAACCTTTCTCAATCCAGATTACATGGTAGGTTATCTCTTTAAATTTGGTTAGCTGTTTATTCTCTATAGCTACAACACGCTGGGTTTTAGTTTTGCTGTAATACGAATGTTCTTCTTAATTTGCGTTTATAAAATAATGGCCTGTTTTTATCAAGCCTGTTCACTTGTGACGTAGTTACAAGCAGGGACGCGCGTTTTCTCTGAGCTCAATAACATTTAAGCATCAGAATTATAGCCCAATATTTACATTGCCTTTTCGGCGAATATAAAATCTTAATATATATATATATATATAACGTAGGCTATACCTTTATTTAAAACCGCCGTTTTAGCATAAAGCGCAGCAATAATTTTACACTAACGTTACGTGTTGTGTTTATTGTCGGTGTAGTGAACGTCAACGATGGGTTCGGCTCCGAAAACGGCACACACGGTTCTTTTGAGTGTCATTATAAGCTGGATGGCCGTCGTTTCTGGCCGCAGTCCACGCACGGTGGATCAGGTGTCGGAGGCGGATATCCAGCGCCTGCTGCACGGTGTGATGGAGCAGCTGGGAATCGCGCGGCCCAGGGTCGAGTATCCCGCGCATCAGGCCACCAACATAGTCGGTCCACTCAGCATCCAAGGTAAGAGTTTCTCATTGTTGGCAATTGCACGTTTTTTTTAAAATGTAAATGATCACTGAGATTAATAGGTTGTCCTTATAATACTCCTCATTGTGTGGTTGCCTTCAGGTGTAATTTTACACTTTGTCCAATAGGTGGTGCCCATGAGGGACTCCAACATCTCGGGCCATATGGGAACATCCCTAACATTGTTGCAGAGTTAACTGGAGACAGTGTTCCCAAAGACTTCAGCGAGGACCATGGCTACCCTGACCCTCCCAATCCTTGCCCTCTTGGAAAGAGTGGTATGTTGGTCCAAATGTAACTGAATGCACAAATATACAGCAGTGCCACCATTTAATAAAATTCAAATGGCCTAAACATTTTTTGTTTAAAAAATGTGATGTTTTTATAGCTGCTGATGGATGTTTAGAGAACTCTCCAGACACTGCAGAGTTCAGTCGAGAATTCCAGAAACATCAGCACATCTTTGACCCTGAGCATGACTACCCTGCACTCGCGAAGTGGGTGAGTTCACACTTGACACCTTGAAAAAAGCTGGAGGAGATTACTGATTTTTCATTTAAAAAAAATGATTGATTAATTTAAGGGCTTTAAATTAAATTAACCAGGATTCTGGTCTGTAGCAGACTGCACTAAATATCTATTTTCATTCTTTCAGAATAAAGGTCTGTTGTATGAAAAACTGAAGGGTGGGCCGAAAAGAAGAAAAAGGGAAAGCTAT